CCATTGCTATTAGGTTGGAGGCCATCGCTATTAGGTTGGAGGCCATTTCTATTAGGTTTGGGGCCATCGCCATTAGGTTGGAGGCCATTGCTATTAGGTTGGAGAGGCCATCGCTAGTAGCCATCAAGGCCCGAACCTCCTGGAGCACAGGGCTCCTCGGTGGCGGTGGGGCCTCCCCTTGGAAGGAGGTGCCAGCTATGGAAGATGAAACCCGGCTGCCGCCGGCTGCTGCAAGGAGATCCTGCAGGCCTGTGGATTGTGGGGAGATACAGGTGGTATGTTGTCAGAACGGCCCTCGCTGTTGGTGAACAACCTGACTCCTAGGCGATTCGATGATACGCTTTTGTTCCATGCTGACCACCTGATTGCTGCTGGCAGGGGTTTGAAGCAACTGGACATTGAAAGTGTTTGGGTGGGACCGGATGACTTCATGCCACAACCCATCAGTCTGGACTGGAAGGCCAGAAGGAAGGTGGACCTGCATCGAATGTGCGCTCAGGGTTTTGATGGCAAGTGCTTGATTTGGAACGCTGCCTTGAACTGGCCTGGTCCTGAGTTTCGTGGCTATCTTTCCATCGATGATCACACCCTGGTATTACCTTTCAAGAAAGCAGATGTGGGCGCCATCCTAGCCTTGACCTGTTTGGTGGTTCCTGGGGAGGGTGGTCTTACGCTACGCAGCTGTTGAATGAGATGGAAGTTCCCATGGCGTCGGGCTCCATTGAAGTTGACTTCAAGGCTGCAAGGAGTTATTCCCTATCACATCGTTGCCCTCTTCTGTCCTCAGAGCATGAACTGCCTCCGCAAGCTCTTTTGTCATATCCTGAAGGGTGGTGCATCCATTGGCGACGTGATGAATTGGATGCAAGCGGTGGCATGTTGGTCCCCCGAGATCATTACAATCAGTGCTCCCTGTCCGCCCTGGAGTGGAGCCTCATCTCAAAAGGGCTTACACTCCACTGATGGGCAACTGTTCATGCGCAGTATCGGATTGCGCAAGCTGCTCCGCCCCAAACTCATCCTGATCGAAAAGGTAGCTGGCTTCCATGCTCACCCGCACAGGATGTGGATCGAGAAGGCCTTGTGGTTTGCTGGATATCAACTACGATTCTCCAGTCATTGGGCTTGGTGATGTTACGCCGGTCCGCAGGTCCAGATGGCTTGGCATTGCCTACTTCATTCACGGCGATGATCTTCAGTTTCCAGCCATATCATTCTGGTCAGTTGAGCGAACGCTGACATTGCTGGAGTTTGACTGCATCAGATCTTGGCCTGATGACATCCTGGACAAACTGTTGGTTCCGGATCCAGCTCTGCAGCATGCCCGGACTTTCCCTTTGGAGCGAAGTGCCAAGCATCAACGACGATGTACAGCTGATGAGGCATCTGAACCCCACATCTTCCAAGCTACCAGCAACTGTTTGCCAACCTTCATGGCGCAATATGGCAGTCAGCACCATTTAGATCCAGAGCTCTTGGGGAGTAAAGGCCACTTTGGTTTCAGCCTGCAGAGTCTGACTCACTCAGGTTTTGGCATCCGGTTGAGGTTGCTCTGATCCATGGAGCTTGGAGTGGATTTTGGATTGGACATGATCTGCAACAGGAGTGGAAGGGACTTGGCAACCAGATTGCTATCCCGCATGCCTTGTGGCTGTTGATTCAAGGGGTGAACACGCTGGAACAAAGGGACTTGCGATTGACTTGGACCGATGTTTGGGAATACTTTGAGGAGCATCGCCTCAGGGCTTCATCTCTCCATGCTGAAGTCTTCCCCTCAGGTACCATGTGGATGAATCAATCAGCTCGTTTCCTCCTGCGCGAGGACACAATGCAACAGCTTTTCAAGGATGATATGGTACAGTTGGGGTAAGGGATCAAAAAAAGTAAAAATAGAATCAAAAAGTATTCAACGGGGATCGCTTAAAAAAAGGGAATCAAAAAAATATTATAGTAGTAGTAGTAGTAGTAGTCGTCGTAGTAGTAGTAGTAGTGGTCGTAGTAGTAGTAGTAGTAGTAGTAGTAGGAGTAGTAGTAGTAGTAGTAGTAGTAGTAGTGGTCGTAGTAGTAGTAGTAGTGGTCGTAGTAGTAGTAGTAGTAGTAGTAGTAGTAGTAATAGTAGTAGCAGTAGCAGTGACCCAGGGAAGAGGATGGAAGGAGTAGGGGACTAGGAGAGTGTACCTCCCTAGGAGCTCCTTCCTAGTAGAGAGCTATTTCTACTGGTGAACCATTTTTCGAGTAGGGCTACTCAATGACTGGACGGCTACCATCATTGGATACCTACTTTCCTCCCAGGGAGCTGCCTCTAGTAGAAAGCAATCAAGCCTCGCTTTGCGCAAGCAGGCAACCAGGAGACCGAAAGACGAGCGGAGTAGGAGAGCAAGAGACCGGCGGACCAGGAGACAGAAGGACCAGGATACCAGGGAACCAGCGGACCACAGGACCAGAGGACCAGGAGACCGGAGGACTACAGGACCAGTCCAAGGGACCAAAGGACCAAGGGACCTCATTGCCAGAGGACCCGCAGACAGGAGAGCAGCAGAAGAGGCCTATCAAGGAATATGTTGTTTTGATTCGCCTTTATTTTTATTTTGATCCTCTTTTTATATTTTTGATGCTCGTTTTACTTTTTTTTGATACCTATGCCGTACAGTTGCCTGACAACACCTTTTGGACGCCAGAGCTGGGTATTGCGCCGCTCTGGGAGCGTGATGACTCCCATCTTTTGACCCCAGCTTTGGATCAGGAATTAGCCTGGTCGTTTGATTATCAATAGCCGCTGCCTTGATACATGGCTTCAAGTAATTCGGACACTGAAGTGGAACTCTGCCCCAGGTCCAGACGGCATTACTGCCTTCGAACTCAAATCTCTGCCGGTAAGTTTGATCAAGTCATTAATTGACGTGATTCATGATTCATAATTACTCAGATGGATTCGCAGCAGGGTTCACGTCGGCCACTGTCTTCGCTGCTCCTAAGGGGCAAGGGATTCCAGAGCCTGGTCGAGTACGGCCCATCACAGTCCTGTCTCAGATATACCGTGTTTGGGCCCAGGTCATTTGCCGACCGGCTTTGCGAGGCCTTGGCTTGTCCATGACAGCGGACATCACCGGACTTCTACCAGGACGTGGAGCTTTCGAAGCTGCATACTGCTCCCAATGGTTTTTCGAACAGGCCCACTTCCAGCAAGAGTCGCGCGCTGGGATCACGCTGGACTTAGTCAAATGTTTTAACGCCATTAAAAGGCCTCGTGGCATTGCTATCCTTGCTAAACTCGGCCTGCCGGAAAACATCTTGCACATGTGGTCGCAGTCTTTGCAACAGCTCACTCGTCGGTGGGAAGTGTGTGGCCAATGCTCTGATCTTGTCCCAAGTTCTTGCGGCTTCCCTGAAGGTGACGTCTTTTCAGTCCTTGTTATGCTTGGGGTTGCTCAATGCTGGACAGCTGCATGCCGCCAGTTTGCCAGTCCTTCGACCTTGCTCTCAGCCTATGCTGATAATTGGACCTGGGCTGTTAAGAACTTGGCTGAATTGCGCCCAATAATGTCGGTCACACTTCAATGGACTAAGATCATAGGCGTACAGATTGATTGGCATAAAACTTGGTACTGGGCCTCCCACAATGGTCTTAATCCACAGATCCAAGCCATCTTTCGGGATTTGTCTTTGCCAGTCCTTGAACGTGCACTTGCCGCACCGGACTTGGGTTGCCCACTTTGATACCAAGGGGCTTCGAGATTGTGTAAACTTGCAGACAGGCTTAAGTAAGGCCAAGGAACGTCTTGCTCGTTTGAAGTTTCATGCGTTGGACACGAAAGCCAAGGTCATCGCGGCCAGTGTCTACCCGGTTGCTTTTCATGGAGCTGAATTGTGTCCTCTTGGGCAGGCCCATACTCGTTCCCTCCGCCACCACGTGGCTGAGGCTCTGGTGGGCCCTTCCGAAAGTATGAGCTCTGCCCTAGTGACATTGTGCGCATCCTCCTATGTTCGCGACCCTGAATTGCAACTGATCCTAAATGCCTGCGCTGCCGCTCGTCGTTTCTCGCTGACTCAACCAGATGATGTGGTGAGCCATTTCTTGGCCATTGCTTCCAAATACTTTCCAAGAGCTAATACGTCTAAGGGCCCTGCCACCTCACTTAAGACTTATTTGTCTCGGTTAGGTTGGACGATTGATCAGTTTGGCCAGTTTCAGGTCTCTGCGTTCATTGTCTTCCTTTGTTGCAATGTCCATGGCATACTCTTGTTTGGTTTGCGGAAAAGGCTTGGCAAGATCGCCTTCTGTCTCTCCATTCACATCGCGCTTCTCTTGCCAATTATCCCAACATTGATCAGCATTTAACTCGTAAGGTATTGGCACGTTTCTCTCCAGCAGGTCGCTTGCTTGTGCGTGAAATCGCTGGGGCCTTCCAGACCCGTGTACAGCAAGCAATCTGGGACTCCAAGGTCACCCCTGAATGCCAATGGTGTGGCAAAGAGGACACTAAGGCCCATAGGTATTTCTGCTGTACTGCTACTCAGTCAGTTCGTGCACCGTTCAGCTCTTTGCTGGAGAGATTGGAGTCTTTTGACTGTTTATGGCCGGAATTGCCGGTCATGTTTGAGGATCATGCGGATGCTCCTTCTGCACTTCTTGACGACTTGGTATCACGTTTCGATGCCTCTGCCCCCCTGCGTGTTTACACCGATGGGACCTGCCAACTTCCTACCTGGCCGACCCTTCGTTTTGCAGGATACAGTGTAGTCATTGATTCTTGTCGCAGTGATGCGGAACGCATTTGGCATGCTCAAAGATACAAGGAGACTGGTCTTTGGCCCGGCAAGAGCAGAATATCCACCATGCTGAACTCCGGGGTCTCATACAAGCCCATGAGCTCTTTCGCCATGCCACCATTCATGTGGACTCTTCCAGTGCCATTGCCACCGTCAAGGCTGCGGTGCACATTCGGGGCAAGCAACTGCACAGACACGTCCAACCTGCTTTGTGTTCTCGCATCCAAAACCTGGGTTCGTTAGAGGTGAACCAAATTGTCAAGATCAAGGGTCACGCTGACTCTGCCTCCTTGCCAGACCTGGATTGTTATCATAGCCTGGGCAACGCAGTAGCTGACCGAGGTGCTGTGGAGGTCTGCTGTCGCTTGCTGCCTGCACTTACTGATGGCTGGGGAGCCAATGCCATCGCTCGTAAATTCGAGGCAGATCAATTGTACGAGTCTTATCAGCTTTCGCTAGCCTTGCAGAAGCATCGTAAAGACTTCGTCTCCTCTGTACCCGCATCCATGAACCCGGAAGAACCTCATCCTCAGTACCAAGCTGGTGTGATGGCTGCATTCTTGGCTTCTTGGCATATCCCAGAGCCTTGGTCCTTCTCTCTGGAGGCCACTCTAGAGAATGCTTTTTTCTCTCATGGCTATTGGGGCGCTAGTCTCCTGACTTGTGTCTTGAAATGGCTTCACGCACTTCGTTGGGCGCCTGAAGCTGGAGCGGTAGCGCAGGCCACCATTGGCGCGTCATGGATGGAACTTGTTCTAAGCTTCATGATCTTTTCGCAAAGCTACATTCCCGTTCACAGAAAGAATGCTAAAGGGGAAAGTTCTTTTGCTTGGGCCCACTCCAGTGCAGAGGCGAAAGCCTTCAGCTACACTTGGAATGAAAGTGCAACACATTTTGCACATACTGTGCAGCAGACGATCTCGCTGAGTGGGTGTTCACCCATACCGGACAATGTCCATAGCGCCAGAGTGTGTTCACTCTATAGACAAGGTGCTGGCACTTGCGTGTTTGGATGGTCACATAGACCGAGCTTTCCTGCCCAAGCAGATGTTTGTAGGATCATTGAGTCTACCTTTCGGAAGCACGCAAGACCTTTGTCGTATAGCTGGTGGCCTGAGCTTGATTGCACCTGGACAGCTTCGGATTGCTTGTATGAATGGGCTGCTCCACAGGGCTCATTTAACGTCTTGCAGAAAAAACTGAAGTTGGGCAACCGTTTGGCCAAGTCCGCCCGAGCCAACGTTTGACCCTTGGAGACACTTCTTCCTGGTCCTCCTGTTCTGAGCGTTGCATGCCTTTCTTTCGCTTGTTTCCGGTCTGACACTTCGCCCCCTCCCTGCCACCTGAGCTAGGGGGGGCCCTCTCGCCAAGGAATTGTTGGAGGCCATCGCTATAAGGTTGGAGTCCATTGCTATTAGGTTGGAGGCCATCGCTATTAGGCCATTACTATTAGTTTGGAGGCCATCGCTATAAGGTTGGAGACCATTGCTATTAGGTTGGAGGCCATGGCTATTTGGTTGGAGGCCGTCGCTATTAGGTTGGAGGCCATCGCTATT